AAACTTATGGAACAGCGGTCACTGCATTCATTTTCTTCTCCATACGATTCCTTTTCTTTCTTTTTTTTTTTTTTTAACAGCTATCAGAGTTCTGTTTTTCCTGTCCTGTCTCCAGAGTCACCTTACAATGCAATATTCAGCCCTTGATCTTACTTTTAAGTCACACGACACTGTCTGAGGCTTAACTTAGTTGCTATTTTTCCTGTCATTTATTGCTGCCAAAATGAGCTTCTCTGAAATTCTTTTCATCAAGAATTTTCATCTCATGTTTTACTCTGAGTTTACATGCTGATTTTCTTGAACTAGTAAGGAAGGTGTTGTTTTTACCCTCTCCTCCCCATTTCTAGTACTTTCTGTAAAGGATTATTAAACATCAGGAAACACAAATGAATTTATAAAAATATTTCAACAGTTTTGTGACATATTTGAAATGATAGCATTGATGTTTCACCAACAAATGCAATCCAGTCTTACTGCAAAGCTAAGAATGGCTATCATGGGAAGTGGAGAAGTGGAGACCTCTAACCAGTGAGGGCAGTTGGAGAAGTTACCATGTCGCCCCTTCTGGGAGGAACTTGGAAATGCAGTCTAGAGACACAAAGAACCAAGGCACTTCCCAGATTCATGACGTGCTTTCTTCAGTGGCTGAGAAAGCCCCATTGTAAAACATGAGTGATGAAGAATACTTCTCTTACGCTTGGGTTGATGGTAAAAATGTAAAAATGTAGAATCAGGAATGCTTTTTTTTGCTTTTTTCCACTTACGAGGTTTGATAATTAAGTACCTGAACTTCCATGCATTTATATTGGCAGCATTGCAAAATGGCTTGGTAAGGTTTGATAACCTTGGTATATCAGTGTCTCACAGCTGTGTCTGTGTCAACGCATGGAGATGTCTTGTTGAGTGGTGTTCATTATTGTTGTTGTGTGTTTTTGTGTGCCCACACCAGAACATCTCAGCTTGAATTAGAGCAATGAACAAGCATTAAATTTCTTCTTAAACTTGGTAAGGGTGGAAGTGAAATCAGTTTATAGGGATGACGCTCTGGAGAAAACAGCAATGTGCATTTTTTGAAGGGAGAGAACACATAACTGATGAAGAGAGGTTAGGGCAGTGAGTATCAAGCAGAACTGATGAAAACATGGCAAAAATTCACTGAATTGTGTGTCAAAATTATCAGCTGACTGTGAGAATCATAGCAGACCAGTAATCATCGACAGAGGAAGAGTTAGGAAAATGCATGAGACAAGTATGTGAACAAATGGTCCCCAAGGAGCTCACTGATGAACAAAAAGCAAAGCTGAGTCAGTTTGCCGAGACCATTTGGAGATACAAGATGATGTTGGGATGTGTTATTATTGGTTATGAAACATGGCTGTACCAATACAACCCTGATACAAAGCGTCAAGGTGCACAACGGAAGTCAGCCAATTCTCCAGAGCCAAAAAAGTTCCGTCATTCCAAGTTAAGAGTCAAAACGACGTTGCTAACCATTTTTGATATCAGAGGGATTGCCAACTAGGCAAACATTTAACCAAGTTTACTGTTTGGAGGTGTGGAAAAGGCTGTGTGAAAAAGTTAGACAAAACGACCTGAATTGTTCACCAACAGTTCGTGGCTCTTGTATCACCACAATGCACCAGCTCACACAGCACTGTGAGGAGTTTTTAGCCAGTAAACACATAACTGTATTGGAACAGCCTCCTAATTATCTGATCTTGCTCCTAATGACTTTTTTTTAACCTGAAAATAAAGGATATATTGAAAGGAAGACATTTTGATGACATTCAGGACATCAAGGGTAATATGACAGCTCTGATGGCCGTTCCAGAAAAACAGTTCCAAAACTGCTTTGAGCTTTGAAGGTGGACGAGGTGCTGGCATCAGTGCACAGCTCCCAAGGGGAGAACTTTGGAGTTGACTCTGGCGATTAGTTCTGGGATGAGTTTGCGAACTTAATTGTCCGACCTTGTATATGACCAAGTATTTACAAGTATGCTTTTCCTTCTGCCTTTATAGGACATTGGACATCTACTGCTGCATTACAAAGTCCACCCATAACGTGAGTTAAGACAAAATTTATTATCTCAGATTGTCGTGGGTCACACCTCCTGGGAGTGACTTAGCTAGTTCCTCTCCTTCAGAATCTCTCACATGGTTCTGATCGCAGGGGCTAAACTCATTGCAAAGCTCCATGAGAGACAATCTGCTTCCATATTCATTCTTGTGGTTATCAGCAGGACTCAGTTCTTTGTGGGTTGTTGGCTGGAAGGCTCCTCCGTCAACCCATACTATATGGGCACAGTTTCTGATATGGGACCTGGTCCCTATCAGAGTGAGAGAACAAGAGATCAAGAGACAAGCTGATCTTTTTACAACATAATATCAGAAGTGAAATCTCATCACTTGTGCTGTATTGTATTCATTAGGAGCTAGTCAGTCACTAGGTCAGATTCATGCTGAAAGGAGTGAGGTGGAATCCAGGAGGTGGAATCAAGAGGGGCCATCTTAGAGACTACCTACACATACAAAATACACCACCCCCTGCTCCCCAGATTCTGCAAAGTTTCACTGCTTTACAGCATCAGCTCAAAGATCAGAATCTCATCACTGAAATGAGGTCAGAGTGGTGAGGCTCCTTCTCAGGGGCAGTTCTTTGAGGATAGCTCCTGGAGCATGGTTGCTTTCCTCCTGTAGACCCATGAAGCTAAAGAGACTAGTTATTTTCCCTTTTCTCCCAGCATAAAATAATGGATAAGGTATAATAACCGTGACATACCATTCCTGTTTTCAAAACTGGGAAATGGGTGACATAAAGGAGTCACTAAGTCCAGTCCATATTCAAGGGGGGAGAATTATGCAATGCTCTGAAAACTAGGAGGTGAGGGTCACTGGGGCATCTTAGGATCTGTCCACTACATGGCCCTTCTATTTGACTCTAATAATAAAAGGAGTAAAACTTAAAAAAAAAAATTACGAGTCTGAGCATGATGGCTCACACTTGTAATCCTAGACTCTGGCAGGCTGAGGAAGGTGGATCACTTCAGCTCAGGAGTTCCAGA